ACAGTGGTTAGACGCCGGTGACACTCCGAAACCGGATATACACGGCAAAAAGGTGATGCTCTGTATTGGTGGAACAGCAAAGGTTCGGTGTATTTCGAAGGTCTCGGGTCAAACAGTTACGGTTAACAGACATCTACAAAGGTCAATGAACCGCGTGGATTCAAGCACTGCAAGGTGTCGAAACGACGTCGACAAAACTCCTCCACGACAACGCTCGTCCACATGTCGCGAAAATCACTTTGGAAAAAATTGAGGAATTGGGCTGGGAAGTCCTGCCTCATCCGCCATACAGCCCAGACCTGGCACCATCCGATTACCATCTGTTCCGGTCGATGCAGCACTCCCTGGCCGAGAGAAAGTTCACAAACCGCGAAGAAGTCCAACTCTGGGTGTCCAACTTCTTTGAGTCGCAGCCGGCCGAGTTCTTCGAAAGAGGAATCCATTCTTTGCATAAACGTTGGCAACAAGTCATTGATAGTAATGGAGATTATCTGAATTGATCTTGTTTAATTTCGTTTTTATAATAAAAAGTTTTTTAGACTCAAACGCGCATTTCTTTCCGAACAACCTAATAGAAGACATGCGGTGAAAGTGTGAAAGTCCAACCAAGTGCTGTTATTTTTTAGGAGTAAACCTTGCCTTTCCAATCCCTGTAGATAAGAAGAGCAGACCTTGAAGGCAGTTGGCACGATGGTTTCCTACTTAGCCTAAAATGCTAGGGCGCTGTATAGTGGGGAAATGGCGAAAGAACGGAGTGAAACGGTCAAAATCCTGCGAAGAAAAAGCCTCCGTTCTCAGTGACTTGAAAATCGATTTCGGACGAGTTTCCCGTAGGCATCTTGCCAATCACCGCTACCGAAGATACGGCTGCATATGTGTACCCATATATGCATGCAGCATCACGGCCGCTTCATACCAATCCCTTCGCTTCATAATTTGCTTAGCAAATGAATGAATACGAGCGTCAGGAACGGTCGTCCATTTGTGGGCGGGCGGGCGTGGGGCGTTTGGGACGTAAAGTTGTGGCTTGATAGGGCCCTTATAAGGGCACCTTCCTCGGGGAAACCGCTATGCAGCGCCTGCCCAGGGTCGCGGAATTCTATCCTGCCAGGAGTATTGATCCTAGTCGTCTTGGGGGATTTATCGTGCCAACTGCCTTTAAGCCTCCCCCACCCCCCTCAAGGCGGACAGCGCCAACATTCATTGTTCTTTTCCCCAGTTTCCTCGCTCATCATTCAATACAACTATTTTCAGTTGGTCTGACTGGTGCGAAACTTTCATGTGAATGTGGAGCATGCGGATCGTGTACGGTAGCGATTGGAAAATGGGATCTGAAGTTGGGAAAGGCAAAGTAGGTTTGATTCCTCTTTGTTTTCATCTGACCATATATGATTACTGTTACTTGTTTGCAACTGTTTCCGGCAACAAAACATGGTTATCACCAGTATGCTGAGTTATGGACAATAAATCTGACCTTAGGCAGGATATGAAGGAATCGAACCTGCATCTCATGCGTGCAGGTCTGATTTGCTAATCATTACACCTCTAAGGACGCCTCCTGTCCCATATGTGATGAAGGTTTCTATGCCATAACCATTGTCTCTGTTTTATTACAGCACTCTTGAGGTGCGCATGAGAGAACGGAAGCGGTCCTGATGGTACAGTGGTTAGCACAGTAATCAGGTGAGCGTGAGGCGCAAGTTCAAGTCCTGCCTGGGGTCACGCAGATTGCCTAAATTGTACACAACTCAGTTCTTGTAGTAAAGTCATGTTTCCTGCAAGCGATGGGTCGTGCGACGTGGCGTGGATTGGAGCGCAGCCTAGGCGAACATTTCCCACCTATGATACCATCTTAAGCCCGCCACCATGGGTGGGGAGTCTGCCGTGGCTGCACCCCCTGCCACGCCGCGTCGCACCCCACATCGCTTGTAGACTGTAACCTTCAGAGCGCGTACTGCAGCGGAAACAGCGGGCAATAAGGTTGCGTTTATACTTTGCGGCAGCGTAGCGTAGCGCTTCCAGCGTACGCCGGCGGCAGTGTATCCATCCTTTCCCGCCGGCGGCGGCGGGAAAGGATGGATATCGATGTAACGTTCCCAGCGTACGCTAGCGTACGCTAGCGTACGCTAGCGTAGCGAGGGCACGGGATGTATAGCTATCGATCTAGCGCTCCCAGCGTTTCACGAGCGTTTCACTAGCGTTTCGCTAGCGCTTGCAGCGGCAGGGAGTAGAGACTATGGGATAGTAGGAGAGTACAAAATGCTCTCCCACCAGGGCACGCCATCTTTGTGATCATCACAACGGGGGGGTCGTATTTGCCCGCGATGGAGGGGGGGGGGTCGTAAGCGCATCGCCCACTCCAAAGTGGAGAGAGCACTCGGTACAGGTGAAAAGAAGCTCGAAAGGGACGATGAAAATGACAATAAAGAGAACTATCACTATTGAGCTATTCCTACGCCAAGGAGTCGAGAAAATTTTTTGCTGAAACTTGTAGTAGATGTTATCAGATGTCCTGATCACGAATATGACATCATTTCTTCGTACCTCCATATTAAGCGCTCTGCTGAGGCTGAAACTGGGAAAACGAATGATTTCTCTCAGGCCAGGCTCAGTCTCGGCAAAGCGCAGATGACGTACGCTGACACTTGCGCCAGGAATAAATGTCATATTTGAAAACAGGATGTCAAATAACCCCTGAACACAAGTTTTCATCGATTTTGGTGGTTTAGGGTATATAGGCGGCGGCGCCTGTGGCGCTGCGCCAAAAAACCCCAAATCACGAAAATCGATTCGAAACGGATATGATATTCGTGCTCAATAGGTCGAAGTGACACTGTGTGCAAATTTTCAGCCAAATCTGGCCTTCTAGAAAAAAAACGATAAAGGAGCGGTCTGATTACAACAGACTGGGGTGGGAATAGTTCAATAGTGGCGGAAACTAGATCACAAACTAAAAAAATACCGAGAAACTAAAAAGAAACCTAGAAAGCATTGAAATACACAAAATAAATGAGAAAAAAACAACTTACCAAATTTGTATGCTAGTTGTTCGCGCCGAAAGTGCCGTCTCATTGGTACACGCTATTTCACGTCCCACAGTCGATTTCAAGCCAAACGCTCGAAAAGTACCCCTCATTTGAACACCCATAACTTCGTTGAAAGTGAAGCTATCGGAGAGGGGTAAGTGGGAATGAGTAGAGCTAGGTTGGCTCTTGTCACCTGAATTGAGCGATTTCAAAAACGTTCCGATTCCAGAGATTTTCCCCGTTGTGATCATCGTTGTGATCCGTCTGTGATCATTTTTGCGAACCGCGAGTCGCTACGCTTTGGACGTCCATGGCAAGCTTCATACACGGCCTTTCGTAAAAAAAAGAATTGTGCCGGAAGCTTGAAGATTTCTACTTTCCAGCAGGCTTTAATTTTCTTCCTAGGCCTGCTATTCGAAAAAATTCCCCGTTGTGATCATTTTGTAATCACCCCCCGACACGAAAAATCAACCCCTCCGAGGCCAGGAAACCTCCAGTTGGCTTGAAGACTTTGGTATGCTTCTGAAACACATGTTTTCGTCAAGCATATCAGGTAATAGGCCATTGGGCGCCAATTGGCATCACATATGCAATGCGCCATGCATGGGGCTTTCACGCAGGTGTTTGAAAGGTGTAACTTCTAGATAGGGCTTCCCAATTGCAAGCAAATGTGCTCCTACGATCAGAAAAGTCCGGGAATGTACTTTCATCTGTTTATTAATCGTCACGTCGTGAGTCCTTTTGTTTGTTTATAAATTCATGGTGCCCTTGTGGGCGGTGATCGTAGCTCCTATCATCGCCCCTTCCTCGTACGTATTGTCAGTATGCTACACCAGCGCCAGAGTGCTGGACGTCTGGACGTGCTTGGGACGTACGTAGGTACTGCGACCTCCCCCCCCCCCCGCTCGACAGCAAAATTTTGTGAAAAAAAAACCAGAAATTTTTTGAAGATAGACAAAGTGGTAGGAGGTTGGAAAGTCTAGGGAAGAGGTAACATGGGGAGGGGGGTCGTACTTGAAGATGGAATTAGGGGGGGTCGTATTTTTCAGGAAATGATCACAACGCAATGGCGTGCCCTGCCCACCCTTCGATACTCTCTAGCGTAGGAGAGCATTTTGTACTCTCCTACTCTTCTATACTCTCTAGCGTAGGAGAGCATTTTGTACTCTCCTACTCTTCTATACTCTCTAGCGTAGGAGAGTATTCTGTACTCTCCTACTCTTCTATACTCTCTAGCCCCGCCGCTGCAAACGCTAGCGAAACGCTAGTGAAACGCTGGAAGCGCTACGCTACGCTGCGCTGCCGCAAAGTATAAACGCAGCCAAAGAGGTTTGTGGGTGGAAGACTTTATTAAACCTGGCCTGACGTTCCGACGGGATCGTCGTCCTCAGAGGCCAGTCCACCACCACATGAGCGGAACGATGCCACTCACTGTCAGTTGCAGTTAGTAAAAAAGTTTTTTTGAAGTTAGTTAGTTTTTTTACTAACTGCAACTAACAGTGAGTGGCATCGTTCCGCTCATGTGGTGGTACTGGCCTCTGAGGACGACGATCCCGTCGAAACGTCAGGCCATTTCAATAAAGTCTTCCACCTACCAAACCTCTTTGGCAGAACACATTACAACTTGAAAGTTCACAATAATGCCGAGGTTTTATGAAGAGAGAAGCTGGACACTATAAACGCAGCCTAACCCTTAAATGGTTACCAAAAAGGCGTCAGAATCAGTCTTAGGGAAACAGATTACTGGACAAGTAGATCACTGAAGCGAACATTGCTGCTGTGCCATTCAGTGGGATTGGTTCCAATCTTTGAGCGTGGAAGTCAATTTGGATTGACTGATCAGTCTCAATCAATTAATCATTGGAAAGTTGTGTGCACCCTATCTTTTTGCAGTCAGCACAGTCTTACCATCAAGAACTTGTAGAGTAAGAAAGCAAAATAGATCGCGAGTATGTCCAAAATTAGATGCCGAGTATGTCTATTTACAGATATATTGCAATAAATAGCTGTGTTTATCCATTGTATATGGCTGACCGCTGTTTGGTATTGACTATCGAAGGGATTGGTAATCCCAAGAAGCTTCATCCGCTACAAGAACGCCTTGCTTGTATTCAAGGCACGCAGTGTAAGTAGCAGTCTATTCTCTGCACATGTATTGAACAGTTGCTGCAGTCGTTATCGCTGGTGTCAGTAGGAGGCGTGTCAGAGGCGCGTGGATTTTGCACCTGCACCAGCCCCTCTCCTACCACTCATTGGATGCCCGAAACCCCAACGATCAATGGAAAAGAGGCTGGCATCGGGTCAAGACTCGCGCGCTGCTGACGCACCTTGACTGACTTCAGAGATAACGACGATATGTACACTCCTTATCCCTGGCGGAGTAGGCGTGGCATTTGAACATGGCACGGAACTGGTTACTCGTGGAATATTCCAGTCTGGGACAACTGTCATCTTGTTCTGTGTTGGACAGAGACACGACAACAATTGTGTCAAGATGAAAATATCTCACCAGAAGCATAGACACCTTCAGGTTAAGTTGAAACATGCGGCCACGCCTACCCGATCTCAGGGATTTCTACTGTATATCTGCGGCAATTGGTCCTGTGTATTTAGACAAATTAGTTCGTACTGGTTTTCGAAGGAGCACTTAATATCATCGCGGTTGGTAGTGAGTCATGTAGAGGTCAGTCTCGAAAGGGGCGACCGCATCCGGCAAGATCGGGATTGACAATCATTTACTAATGCTGTCCCAATCATAGCTTCACAAGTCTACGAAGTGGCTGCTTGGTAGAGCGTGCTAAGCTCGCTTGTGATTGGTGGATCGTAGTAGAGCACCAATCACAAGCACGTTCGGAGCATGTTGCGCTCGCGATTGTCGTAAATGATGGCAATTTCAATTTTTAGGTGGATTCTGCTATCCCGGCTTTGTGATGGCTGCCTATGCCTTACTTCGCAATAACCCATCTCCTAGCCTACACGATATTAATCAAGCAATCAAAGGTAGGTGCTTTTCCACAATAGAGTAAAGAAGTTAGTCCCTCCCTTCTATAAAATCGACGTACGCATCTGTGTATACATCTGAATGAGATTAGCGCCTTTCTGAGAGATGAGAAACCTTTTTGTACTGAGTTTCAAGAAAAAAATGTTCACTCACCTCCGTAGACTCTGATCCTTGCCGTGTGTGGGGTTAAAGGGTGCGCAGATGAGTAGCGCCACCTCTTTCAAAAGAGCGCGGGAACGAGAGGGTATTCCAACTCTAACCTTAGATCAAATTCTCAAGACTTCTCAAAGGTCGAATGTCCCTGATGATAAAATGTGTTAATTATCAATTTAAACACTGGACGTCATCCAAAAAAAACGAGAAATATTCCGAAAAACAAGAAATCTTTTATA